GCTTGAAACCAACTCTTGGAGGCCTTGGCTTTTTGCTTTGTTCACAGGTACCAACACCTGTGGTCAGGTGCCTCTCCACCTCACTCTCTGGGGACTCTGGACAGCAAGCAGATCTGTGTTGCTGACTATCTTAAGGACCCAGAGCAGAAAATTCCTAAGTACCCACCTAACAGGTCACCAGCCAGGTAAACGCCCTCATTTTCTATGAAAACTAGTAACTATAAGTTGAATTCAGAATCACATCTCAGGAAATATTAATCCAAACAATATAGTTTCAAAGAGCACAAACACGGAAAATCTTTTTATCCTTCTGCTGCTCTACACCCTCCCTTAGGAAATCTGATCCCAGTTCTTGCCACTCTTCCAGTCTTGCAAGAGAAGAAAGCAACCTGGGACCTGAGAGAAATTACTTCCCCATCAACCTATTCACTGGGACGAAGGCCCTTGGGGAATTCAGAGAAAGAAAGGAGGAAAGGAGGTGGCTCTGCTGGGAACAGGGAGGGACCTCCTGGGAAACGAAACTGAAACTTTGCAGCCCAGATCTCTGGGGCAGGACTCTTGGCTCTGTCTGTGAGGTGCACTAAGCGCTAGGTGAGCCAGAAGCCAACAGCCATGGCTTCCAGTCCCTGCCCGCCATCCCCTCTACTCCTGCGGCTGCCAGAGTCCATCCCCTGGGCCCACAGGAAACTAGAGAAATACTTCCAGAGCCGGGCCTGCGGAGGCGGGGAGTGCAGTGTCCAGCCCTTGGGCCCTAGCGCCCCCCAACACCTTCGAGGTGAACTTCCTAGAAAGGGCAGGTGAGTCGGGACAGCAGAACCGGGCCAGGGTCGGGTGCAGGTGTCCAAACAGACCCCCTCAAGCTTCTCAGGAGAGCCCACGGGAGTGTGGCACTGCCTGTGGGAGCCGCTGCCGCCCACAGACTTTTTTTTTTTTTTTATCACACAGCAGGGGACAGCGCTTTAGATGTGCCCAGCCCCAGACCTGGTTTGGCTGCTTCCTAGGGATAGCTTCCATTTGCTACCTGAGTTGCCCAGTTACCCAGCAGACAGCCTTGAGAGGAGAAAGGAAAGTGTGGAAACAGGGATTGGAGCAGGAACCCAGAGTCCTGTGCTAGCCAGGCAAGTGCTCCTCCAACTGAGCGACACCCAAAGCACCTTTCTGTTGTAAATAACGATTCCATTGGCTTGTTTCTAAGGATTACAAAAGTAATATATCATCACTTAAAAACAAAAAAAGCAAAAGTTCCCTGGAGATGCACAATGGGAACATTCTCATATATTCTCATCTGTGAAACAGCTAATGTATATACATTTAAATCATTCTAAACTTTTGGGTTATTAGTTTGGCAGGGGATTCCTCACATAACTATACAATATCATTCTATGTCATTGAATGAGAGTTTAAGACCAATTCAGAAGCATAGGCTTGCCCTCACCACTATGATACAGGGTCTTGGTATGTCCTCTTGGCTGGCCTTCAACTTGTGATACCCTTACCCTTACCTCTACCATTAAAGTGCTAGGAATTTGGGTGTATACCTTCATTCCCAGACTAGAAACACGGCTTTTAATAACCAAATGATGTTCTACAGTAAAGCTTATGCTGACTACTTTTGAGTTCCAGATAACTTTCTCCCATCAACAACCTGCTATTGCAGAATGCCAGACACAAATGCTCAGGTCCTCTGTTCTTATTGGGACACAAAACTCTTCCTGGCGAGACACAACACACATGTCCACTCACCTCGGATAAGGAGCCTACACAGACCAAAAGAAGGATCCCACCAAAGCTCATCTTGGTGAACCAATGGCTTTTATCGAGGTTTCTTACAGGACTACTTACAGGAGCAGAAATGACTCAAAGACAGCTGCATCATCAGAGCGCAGCTTAGCATGGGTGACAGCTCATAACCCTGGGAAGCTAGAGCACACTGCATAGGCTGCAGGTCCTCAGTAGGTCCAAGTAGCTCTGGTCTAAGCCTCTTCCAGGCAACTCAGTCTGTTTCTGATTCTTTCAGGTACAGGTCTGTTGTCGTCATTACTGCTTGCCTTCTCTTAGAGTCAGTGCTGCTTTTCTGAGTCTTCCTTGTCCCTCTGTCCTGCCAGTCCCAGAGCGACTCTCAGCAGTCTTTATTGATTACTCTAGCAGGGAGGAACCTAGTGAATCTGGTCAGATTCAGGGACTTCCTCAAGGTATTTTAATTTGTTCACTTTCTGGCTCTATGAATTTCCCTGCAGGATAGAATGTTTCCATCTTGAGGAAATTCAGACAACAGTGCTGCATTATAGGGTTCATCCAACTAAACAATACAACATAACAAGTATTTCCAGAGTGTTTACCTTGTGTGAGGGATTAAAGTTGTCTAGAGATTCTTAAAAGTGTGTGGGAGGCCAGGTGTGGTGGCACAGTCCTTTAATCCCAGTACTCTGGAGGCAGAGACAGGCAGATTCCTGTGAGTTCAAGGCCAGCCTGGTCTATATAGAGAGTTCCAGGACAGCAAGGATTACATATCTCAAAAACAAACAAACAAAAAAAAAACCAAGCAAACAAAAAACCAAATGGGAGAATATGGGTAGCTTGTGTGAAAGTCCTAAACTTATGAGGGAGATTTCTGGATTTGGTACTTTCAGAAGTTCCTAGAATCAACCCAGAAAGGACACTGGGGGTCATCTGTAAGTTTTCTCTCATTTCCGTGTGAATGTGTGTTTCATGTCTCCCCTGAAGCTAAGGAGAGAGTACTGAAAAAGAGAGAGCACCAGATGGAGATTGATGGCAAACCTGTGACCATTTTCCTGGAAACCACAAAAAAGCCAGTGGAGGACCCAAGACCCAGTCCTCCGTCTCTGACACAGCCAGATGAGGCTCCAAGCTCCAGTCCTCCATCTTTGACACAGCCAGCTGAGGCTCCAAGCTCCAGTCCTCCATCTGTGACCCAGTCTCTGGATGAAGCACTGTTTGATGAAGGAACTATTTATAATTCTGATGACACTATTGTCCAGATGGTGAGTGTTGACAGAAGAGCTGGCACTGATGCTACAACTGCCCCTAGGTCACCGCTTCTGCCCTTTTGGTCCAGCAGCCTTAGCTGTGAGCTAGGTGCTGCTCTAGGTACTGGGCTACAGAGGTGAATAAACAGGGAGAAGATTCCTGTCCTCATGCAGCCTGTAGTGAGTAAGGGGGTCTGCAGAATGAACTGAGAAAAGCACTTCAAAGATAGAGATGTGGTAGGAGAATAAAAAAGGAGTTTTGTGTCAGAGAGGTACAGGGTGAAGGCATGCAAGGGGAAGATGGGAGACCTTCTTGCTGAGGTGACATTTAGCCTGAGGCTTAAATGATGAGAAGACACCAGCCATTAACAAAATGCATTCAACAAATAGATAGGTACTGCTTAAGGTGTGACAGACACTGATGTAGGGCTGGGGGCACAGACACTGTGTGGACTGCTCTTAGGGCCTTGACATCGAGTAAGGGAAACAAAGGCCTGTGAGCTGAACTTTACAGAGAACTGAGAAAGCAGCTGAAGCCTTGGTTGCTGCTTATAAGCCGGCTAACCTATTAGTTGTCAAACTGCATCAGAGTTCCTGAGAAGGATAGATTTTATTTGAGTTAATGATGACAGTGACAGAGACTTACTTCATTGGCTTCCTAGACAGCCACTCCCCAGGATCCTCCATGGTCACTGAGGGCAACATCAGTCTCTTGCTATTGGGTCTAGACCTGTCAGGCTTCAGAAGATCCTGTGGATTCAGAGCTTGTAGGAAGACCAACCTGCCTGTTGGATAGGCAATATGAGACAGTTGATTCCAGTGTCCTGTCATTCATGGTCTGAAGAGAGTCTTAACAGCACTCAAGGTGAAAGGCAGCTTGGCTCAGTGGCTAGTGCTGCCATTCATGAAGCAAGATCCACGTAGAGGTTCTTCTGTACCATCCATATTCTTTGGAGGAAGTGGGGGAAAGTGCCAGGAGCTGACTGTTATAATAATTATAATTATGCTGGCCTTCCCTGTCACCTGGGTACCCTATCGCTTTAAGAGACAAGCCCCTCCCACTCCTAATCTCTCCCTTCTGGCCTAGACAAATTGATATCCTGCCTCCTCTCTTCTTCTTTCTGTCCTTTCTTCTTCTGAAGAGGCAGCCTCTGCTTCCTCCCCCTTTCCTCTCTTTCTCTGGTCCCCCCTTTCTCTCCCTATATCCCCCACCCTCCCACACCTTCCCATACCCACTAAATAAACTCTATACCCAAGCTCTCTCCACATGACTTATTTGTCTGTCTCTCACTTACCTTGGCCTCTCCAACCTACAGTGGGACCTTTTAGGGGCACCTATGCCATAAGTCTTTCACTGACCTGTCTCTCTATTACAACACCTTTTTAATTAAATATTTTAAATGCTGTGTTCTCTCAGTATCTTAGGACTGTCTGTCTCTTGGGTCTATCTGAGTTATGACTACAATGACATTAGTACAGGATCTGCCTGTAGAGCTGGATCCAAGCTGAGACGTTGTGGGGGAATGTTTTACTCAGAGTCCTCCACTTTGACTTTATCTGGTTATAACTTGGCATATCAGCTTTATGCTTATAAAGGACAAAGAAGTAAAGAAAGATTCCCTTTTGCATAGAAGCTTAACAATAAAAACTGATAATAGTGAAAAACAGCTTACAGGAAGGGCTGGGTACTGTAAATCTCTACATTAGCTTTTGTTACTGATTAACTTTTGAATCTGATCTTTGTAACCTGCTGTGTCCCACGGCCAGGCAACAATATCAGCCAGGTCCTGCCTAGCTAATTCGTTTATGTTTGGAGGGAACCCTGGGGATTAAGAAATGGCAGGTAGAGAAAGGAAAGATACAAAAGAAAAGATAGATCACAGTCTGGAGTCTGGAAGGCAATCCAGTGAATACTGAATCCACCCAGGTTTATTTTTCATTGGCTTTATATACCCCATCCAAAGAGGAGACAAAAGGCCTTATTAACAAAATGCAAGGAACAAAGAAAGTGATCATCTTTGCAAATATCCAAAGCATCAAGCAACCATGCCCTAAGTGAAAACATCCTGTTAGTAGCTGTCGTGGCAGGTGGACAGTAGCCACTCTAGGTCAAACCTCCTGTCAGTAACCTTGGAGGAGCAAGAACAGGTCTGAACTCTCTAACCTTTAGTCAAGGTGGAACAACACCACCTTGTCACATCTGTGAACTCTGACAGTAATCTTAAATTTTAATCATTATATAGAATATATTTTAAAGCAGAGTTAAATCACATATACAGTGTGTTGTAACAGATGTAACCATATATTTCATCATCATCTAAGAGTACATACCAATTGTTTTTTGTTTGTTTGTTTTGTTTTGTTCTTTTTTGAGACAGGGTTTCTCTGTAGTGTTGGAGGCTGTCCTGGAACTAGCTCTCTAGCTCTTTCTCTGTGTAACAGCCCTAGCCATCCTGGAATTAGCTCTCATAGACCAGGCTGGCCTCAAACTCAGAGATCTGCCTGTCTCTGCCTCCTGAGTAATGGCGTGTGCCACAACAGTCCAGCTTTTTATTTTTTTTTTAATTTTTTTTAGGGGGGGACAGGATTTCTCTTTGTATGAAGATTTGAAGCCTGTCTTGAAACTCAATCTGTAGATCAGTCTGGCCTCAAACTCACTGAGAAACACCGGACTATGCCTCCTGAGTGCTGGCATTGAAGGCATGCACCATCCATCGCCCAACATCCTGAACTTCTAAAAACCAAGGTTTAAAAGGATTTAGTTACTTTGTATGAGTTAAGTGTTTTGTGCTTTGGGATTTCCTTAAAGTAAGAGGGTAAGTAAAAAAAAATGTGTTGATGAGGGAGGAAGGCAATGCTTGGATTTAGAGCTACCTTCAAGCTCACAAACCATTTATTTATTTATTTATTTATTTATTTATTTATTTATTTATTTGAGACAGGGTTTCTCAGTACCTATGGAACCAGTCCTGGAACCAGGCTGGCTCGTACTCACAGAGATACTCATGCTTCTGTCTCCCGAATGCTGGGATTAAAGGTGTATACCACTACTGCCTGGCTCATAGACTCTTTTTTTGAGGACCACAGCAACTTCACAGAGAGCAGCAATGCCTTCTCTCCACCCTTTAGCTCCTAGGATCAAACCCTAGACATAGATCTCTTAGACTATGTTTTTCTATGAGTTTTAGAAAATGTTCGTGCCCAGGCTTCATTGCAAACCAGTTAGTTATGTGGACCTCTGGAATGAGACCTGGCCTTGACTTTCTTTGTTTAATTCATCTTTGAACTCCCCCTAGGTGAGTCTAATGTCAAAATGGGGCAGACAAGCCTGACTTGCAGCTGAATGCTCCTCTCAGCAGATTAAAAAAAATAAAAGACAAGAAATAAAGATTGTGGCCTTTTATGTGTTCCTGGGTGTTCTCCTGAAGAGGGGTCATATCCAAGAGAGCTAATTTGTGCCTGTACCTTTTAAACTTTCAGGTCTTTCTTGCTGTGACTGCTGAGCTGAACTGTGAGCTGCTCTCCAAAGAGCGGAGGGAACACATAGCCTCTGTCTGCCCTGGCGTAAGAAGCATGGAGGGTAAGGATGGAATTGCCAAGGTGTGTGGCAGCTTCAAAGATATTGAGAAGATACATCACTTTCTGAGTATGCAGCTTTTAGAAAGTGAGCAGAAGCAAAAGTGCCCAAAGCACAAATACACCCTTTCAGATGTGGAGAGAGAGCCACCCAACCAGCAAGACTTGGGTAGGGACTTTTCCTCTTCAGACCCAGCAACTGGGTTAGATGTTTCTGAGCGCTGTTTTGAAGTTTATGTGTTTTTCCTTGAATATTTCAGACGTGCCTTGATAACTGTTTTGTTATATGTAATTTTACTGTGTTAAAGTAAAAGTCTTTCTTTTTTGTTTAAACAGAAAAAGGGGAAATGGTGTAGGAGGTTCGTCTTTCTATATGTTGGATTAGCCTAACAGACAACACAATGAAATGTCTTTCTGTATTTAGCTCCTTCACAGTCAAAAAATTTAAAGAAAACATAATAATACACAGAATCCAGGCTCTCTGTGAATTTTACATGGCTTATTTTTCTTTATTTTAATCTATATCTGTACTCTGTCTCTTTAAAGACTTTACCCTTTTTAAAAAGCATTAACTTTATTTTAAGGCATTAACTTTATTCTCTATATTCTTTTTCTTCCCTCTCCTAAACCTACGTACATCCATCCAACACTGTGACCAATTTAGAAGTCTTTTATGTCTGAATCTGTCCTATTGTGAATCTGTAATTCTTTACTGTCCAGGAGCACTTTTTAAAATGCTAAGTGCTTCTTAAAAAATTAGCTGCGCCATGTAGGGGTAATATGGTACCACCTGTTTCCTGACCAGTCTAAACCTTAACTGTGTTGCTATTATGATAATTATGATAGTTCCTAGCTGAGATCAGCACAGTTCAGCATGGCAGAGCTACTCCTGCCTCAGAGCCATTTGGTGCCCCTGAGCCACGTGCAGTTCCAGGCACACAGCGAGTCCACATTGCCATCAAGCAAGCAAGCTGTAGCAATTTACTCCCAAAACCCCACTCAAAAGCTCTGTTTCCCACCAGAGCAAGACAGAGATCGCAATGGCGGCACAGCCCGGAAACTGGATTTCAAAACCGCCACTTTCTAGTAGACCTGATCCTGCTGCCTACTCAGGCAGGAAGAGCTGAGCCACCGGCATGGCCTCAGCTACTTTATTCCCAACCCCGAGTGGGCACACAAACATCTGAGCCCACAAATGCTCCATAGCCGAAATTGTGCCGGCGGCAGGGCCCAGGAAGCCTCGTTTTAAAATGGTGCGGCTTTTTTTTCCTGCTGCTATTGCTGAGTCAGGAAATCTCTCTACGGCACGCCCTAGCAAACAGCAAAAAGCTGTGTTAAACTCTGTTTGTTTGTGTGTGTGTGTGTGTGTGTGTGTGTGTGTCTAGAATTCCCTTTTAAGCCCTCTCAGTTTTTATGTGGAGTCCATCATGTTGGGCACCACTTTGTAGTAATGAGGAGCAGTGGGCTGTGTCCCACCACCTGGCTAGCTTAGCCCCTGAAATAACCACATGGAATTGTATTAATTTAAACACTGCCTGGCCCATTAGCTCTAGCCTTTTATTGGTTAACTCTCACATCTTGATTAACCCATTTCTATTAATCTGTGTTCATCACGAGGTTGTGGCTTACCAGCATGAGGCTAACCAGTGTCCATCTTGGGCAGAAGCATGGCATCTGCCACACTTCCCTTCTTCCCAGAATTCTGTTATGTCTACTCCACCCACCTAAGGGCTGCCCTATCAAAGGCCAAGGCAGTCTCTTTATTCAACCAATGAAAGCAACACATAGAAAGAAGAACCTCCTACACCAATTTTACTGTGACAAATGCATGGGTACCCATAGCTACAAGCATGTGCTCCCTAAGTGCAAGCATGAATTCTGCCCCTCTTGTTTCTCTAAGGCCTGTCATTAAAGCCTGTCTGTCCTTTGTGTCAGACTTACTATGATATTGAGAAGAAGTCAGAAGAAAGCATGGATATTAGCATATTAAAACAGTCACTTCTGGGTTATGAAGACTGTGACACAATTGAGATTCAATATATTATAGAAAGTGACATTCAAACAGTAAGTGTACCAGAGGAACGTGAGTTTCTTTTGGCTCTGCTAGAATTACCAGCACCCAAGGGGTTGTCCTGTAGCCTCTTAGATGCTGATTTTCCTAAGAACTCATTCAGTGATTGTGGTAGGGACATAATAGTTAGAGGCCATACTGTTCGCTTAGAACTTTGTATATTCCATCTTTATGTGGCTTATTTTACTCTTTTAATCTAAGACCTGTCTGTACTCTTTGTCTTTAAAGACTTTGTTTTATTTTTTTAACCATTTACTTAAAAAAAAACTGTCTATATCCTTTTTCTTCTTTCTCCCAAGACTTCATATATTTATTCTACACTGTGACCCATTTAGAAGTCTTTTTTAAAAATCTG